GTGATAGCTTGTCAAGTTTGTAGCTATTCTAATTGATCCGTATCAAACAAAGAAAAACCATGACCCTATGACAAAAGCGGTCGATCAGGGCCATGGTTTTTCTTTGATTGATACGGATCAATTAGAATAGCTACAAACTTGACAAGCTATCACATCTTGTGGAGCAAACAATTTTCTACAAATTGGTATACTTGTTCAATGTTTGCCAGCCCTTCTTCACTCTGTTAGACACGCTTTTTAGATAGCCCCAAAAACGATTTATAGGCCGGTCTGGACAACAGTTTCATAACAAATCAACGTCAGATCCAAGACACTTTTCATTTTGTAGAGAAATGTTTAATCTACTTAATTATCTAGTTTCAATTTTAGATTAGTTTGTAGTTTTATTGCAATAACTGTTTGAAAAGAGCAAAAAATGGAAGCCGTTAGCTAGACAAGCTGAAGGGTTGTTAGCCTCATTAGCGTTTAAAAAGCATCGTCATGGGTTTCTTGAGACAATGACCTTTCAATAAGATAACATTTTGAACATGCGAGATATTATTTGGCAACCAGTGCTGATTCTGACAACGATTATATAATTATTTTCGAATTAGGCATGTATTAGTTAAAATGATTCAAAAAGCATTTATATTGTCGATAGTATTAGCTATAAGAAGTTTTCGATGATACAGAATTATAGCGCACAGTATAGTCAAAAATCTTTAAATAAAAACAGTATGAGGGACAATTAAGTGCAGTTACTTGTTCAATAAAATGATCATATTGTTTTATCTAAAGATAATTTAAGGTTTTTGACTATACTTCTTGTAGACCAGCTTCTGCTCTATAACTCTGTTCGCTGAACAAAAAAATAACGTTTCGAATCTTGGTAATAAAAAGAGATTCAAAACATAAAGTTCACTAATTATGCGTTTAAAGTACCTCATAACCAAGTGCGATTGTATAAGAATGAAGTCATGGATCTATTCTGATTTGAAGATTTAATCTTAGAAATATGGCATTTCTTGTCGCCTCTATACTTCCTAAAACACAGTCGTTTTTTACAGTGCTTTTAGTACGAATATATTGATTTCTTTAATGCTTTTGAGGAGAGTAGTATAACTGGTTAGAATCTGTGTGCGATTCAATCCCTTCGATATTGTATAAATTGAATATACGGGCATTGGCGGATAAGCCACAAACATCTTCACGAATTTTGTGCGTTGCAGAGAATTTGTATCCGTCGAGCAGGGAGGAGAGAGGCTTCACAATCGTGGAAAGGATTCTCTTCAGAGCGGAAAAACGCTTTTGATAGAAGTGAGCCGGGGACAGTGTTGAAATAGTCTTTCGCTCATTATATTATCAATGACGGCCGTTTATGCCGAGCAATGGAAAAACTATTGCGAACGATTTTTATTGCGTCGACACACCAACTGTTTGTTTATTCATCGCGGTTTGAGATCCTTGACGAGAAACATGGCTACAGAGCGAATTTCGAACGTAGGTGTAAATCGTATAGTGTGTACAATGTACATGTACTTTACTATCTTGGTCAGAAGTATTTGTTCACATAGCCCGTCTGTTGTCTTATTCTGTTTATGATCAAAAGCCAGCTGAATGAGAAAAGCATTTCTGATTATTCTGCAGACAGTTCAGCGTAAAAGTAAAGAGTTTGTTAGGAATATTGATTCGCAAACTTTCTTCCTCTTTCAAAAACATTCAGAAGACTGCAGTCTCTTAGTTGGATGTAAAGCGAAAAACGATACTCAAGCCTACCGCCCACACCTGACAACTTTACGCCCGATAACCATCCTTCCGGTGAGTTAACCGTCGAACTGCACATCTCTGGCTTCCACTTTTAAGTACCCAAACAAAAATTTTAGTACTCACTACTGCTTCATGAGTTCACATTCTTGTGACCTGAATGCGAAGAAGTATTCATGTTTGCTAAAGGGGCATTGTTTTTCTTGGGAATTCTTTCAGGTATAATTAGATGCAAAACACAATCGTCTGTTGTCATATTTTATTTCGTTCAAGTGTAACCACTAACTTGTAAACAAAATGAACGAAGATAAAAATGTCGGCATGAAAGATAGTCACGGCGATTATGATCCGAACACTCAAAATCCGGTCAATCCTGATCCCGACTACAACGGTGATTATCCAGAGCAATCGGCATCCATCGCAACAATAAGTCCAGCAGACAAAATAAAAGAAATGCCTGCTTCATCGAAGGCCGCAACGGCCTCACCAGCCGTTAATCGGCCGCCAAAACCACCCGGCTACGCTCTCGGTCCCTATTTACAATTTCTAACGACTGACCTGGATCATATGTTGTGGTACGGAAGTGCTCTCATCTTCCGGCATGTTTCGTTCAACGATAAAAGACCAAAAATCGAATTTATATGTGAGCCCAAAGTTGATTACACATGGGAGATACTGTACGATAATATATTTGATATGCGTGCCTATCGAGTCCATATCAAAATTGAACTACGCGATGGTGCCAGTGACGACAAAATTGCATGGAAAATCGACTGGACCGATCATACAAGCGAAGGTTTGTTTCATATTGCTCAGCGAGATCAGCGGTGGCGTGGCGGTTTCTTTTCGTGTAACGGTTTCGATGCGACAGTGCCTGAACAAGTGGTCAACGACTTGACATACACGAATGTATGGAAACATTTAAATTCGGTGCATGAAGAAAATCCGTTGCATCTGCTCGTTTGGGGTGGCGATCAGAATTACATCGATTTCATATTCGAAGATTGTCCTTACCTCAAAGACTGGGTAGACATGGAATGGAACAAAAAATGGACATGTGATTTTCGTGAAGATTTACGCGAACAAGTTGAACGGTATCATTTCAATATGTACACTGAAAATTGGGAACGACCCGAAGTGAAATACGCATTGGAGACGGTGCCGAGTTTAATGACATGGGACGATCACGATATTTTTGATGGAGCTGGTTCTTATCCGCCTCTTCTGCATGATAGTCCAGTTATGATGGGTCTGTTTCGATCGGCACAAAAAATGCGTCTTCTCTTTCAACATCACACAACGGTCGAAAAAGCATGTACCGAAGATCATACAATGTTCGGTTATAAATCTTACAATTTTCTTGCTCGTTGTGGTCCGCACTTGGCCATTTTGGGCACTGATAGTCGCAGTGAACGCGATGCCGAAACAATTATGGATCAGAGAACTTGGGACATGATATTTGACAAACTCAATAAAATAGATCCACTTGTCCAACATTTAATCGTCATATTTGCCGTCCCATTCTCATTCCTCCGATTCCGTCTCGCCGAGTCGATATTTGAACGATTTAAAAACGCAACAAATAAATGTCGAACATTGCCCATCGTTAAACAAACAAATTCCATTTTTGGTCTGCCAGAATTGTACGATGATTTGCTCGACGAATGGACACATCAGGCGCACATCCGAGAACGAGATCGAGGACTGCAAAGATTTCAACAGTTGTCGAATGAAAAACGGTTGCGAATCACGTTTTTTAGTGGTGATGTTCATACGTGTGGAATCGCCAGATTTCAAACACGACGACGTAGAGGAGTAATTCAACCAGTAAATGACAGTAAACTGATGTATCAAGTGATATCGTCTGCTATTGTAAATATTCCACCGTCGAGAAAGAGTTTACATGTAGCACATTATTTTAAAACAAAATGGTATCCGGATGGTGTTGAAGATACCGAAGAAGAATTGACAGATTTTTTCGAGCGAATGCCCGAGACAGGACGAAAATTGGTGCATAAAAAATTATTGCCAAACAGAAATTGGTGCTATTTTGAACAATCGTCTTCTGCCACGCCAACTGTCGTTCAAAAAGTTGGCGGATTTTTCCATCGTCATTTTTCATCGTCGAAAAATAACGTTTTACCAATTACATTGGGACCAACGTCAACTGCCGACGGTCAGGGAAGTGCCGAGCCACCTGTTCACACTCACACAGAAGGACGTTTTTGTCGACAACAGACAGAACAGTCTCGAGAAGGGTCTACGAATGAGTTAACGATAAGATTGTGGTTAGAGTCGAGTGAAAAGCACAAAGAAGGAAGACAATTTGTTAGTTATGAATTATTGATCCCAGGTTTATTATAGAGACACTGTGATATTTTTATTTTTTTATTTTTTTATTGTTTTTCTCATATAAAAAAACATTCATTTTCGATTCACTGATTCTTTACTGGAAGCAGCCTACGTTCTAATTCGATAAAACATATACTACTTATCTGAGTACGATTTTTCGCATAACTAGTGCTTAGAAACGTCGAAGGCTTTCTTTGGACGGAAAGGATTTGTAGTAGAGAGTGATAGTAGTGAAATTCCAACATTGCAGAATGATCATTCGAACCATTCATCACTAGTTATGTTTGCTCCAGACACCATCAACCCATCACTGCATGGTGAAAGGAAAAGTAGAATATCACTTGAAGGAGATGCTAAACAGTTTCTCAGATTTCAGTCTCTTCTCACATGGTTTTATTTGCAATACCCAATGTCAGCAGATTGATTTGGAATTTTTGGATAACTTTGGGTTTTCAGTAAAAGTTTCAGTTTAAGAATTTAAAAATGAATAACATTCAACTCAGTTTTGAATGTTAACTTTGAATGTATCATATTGAAATCCGATAGTTAAAACTGCGGATTACGGGTGCTATCATTGTTTCTCCATCGATTCCAAAACATGTTTTTTCTCAGAAATAAAACAAAAATTTCCAAAACCGATGGTTAACTTTTTTCCCACAGGCGTAATGACCAAAATAAAATAAAAGAAATCATTATATTTTTCAATTCATAAGACTAGATATGTGTTGAAGATGTACAAGGACACTTCTGTTGGACTATTTTAAGTTTCAAAAATGCTTAAGTTTTAAACTCAATTTTAGATGAAGAATCAGAAAAAAATACTTTTAGAATTTGAAAAAGAAATAAATGGACAAATTTCAGTTGTTTTTCAAAATTTAGTGATTTTTTTCGTTTTCAAAAAATTGATTTTTTGCAAGTTTTTCGCATAAAATAACTTCTAACAATTTGAAACTAAGTTTCTCCTAGGCAACATGATTAGCTCCATCGAATCGGGGAAAAAAAATGAAGAAGAAAAATCATGTTATCTTTTTGAATTGCAGGCAACTTACCAAGCATTTACCGCGACCAAAATCATTTTAATCAATTTCACAATAAACTCATATTATTAGATCCTTCAACATGTCTCTTGTACTATAGAAATAAATACTCAAAGGTGAATTATAGAGCAGAATTTTGATGATCCTAGAAACGGAATTTTTAACACGACTAGAAGTGAGAAATAATTTGATAGAGAACATATGAAAAGAAAATGTATGCGTAGACCGGAAATCGGACTTCGAGGATCGTGCTTCGGTAGTTCCGTGGTTAGAGCTTCTATTAGTTACCAGAGTGTCTCGGTTCGATTCCCGGTCGAGGCATACATTTGCTTTTCACATGTTTATCTATCAAATTACGTCTCACTTCTAACAACACTCAAAGTTGTTCTAAACGGGAAACTTCGTTTTTCTAAGACGGAGCTTTCTCAATGGGAGCTGCGATCCAATTTTCCTGATTGGTAAAGTACAAAAAGAACTCTCTCAGGATATTAAAGAATATTGTGGCTTGGGCTTTGCCTTTGCACTACATCATCAGGAAACGAGACAGAAAATCGTTTTTTAATTGCTATTTTAGCTCCGAAAGTGGGATTAGTATTTACTGTACATTTTACAAAAGAATGTCTGTGATTGTGAGTTGAATAGCTCAAGGACGCAAAGAGCAAGCGAGCTCAGGTTTTCACCGTCGTGTACCAGGCCTATGGAATGTAACTAATTATCGAAATTACCAGGTAGCTTTTCCCGAAGATTTTTGCAAAACCACCTTGCCAATCTGGGTAGCCTAAGTGGTTTTCGATCAAGATAAATTCATTTGACATTCTAGAATCTGTTCTACAAAGCTACACAAGGTGCACATTTTTTCATTCTTTCATACGGGATTTAGGCCCCACACGCCGGGACTTCCAAAAGACACGCTTCTTAACCCGGCTAAGCTCAGATACGCATGAAAACATGAGTTTCCGAACACACTGAACCTCATGGTAATGTTTCATTTTCTTAAAAGCTTCCCAAAATCAGTGAAAACCTAGACGAAATAAGCCCTTTTTCACTACTTTTTCTATACCGCAGAATATGGTGAAACAGCTAAAATCGATATTGATATTTTAATACTTCATTTTAAAATGCGACGAAAGATATTGAGTAACGCAATGAGAACGGTATTTTACACTGTAAACAAACTTTTCCAGCAGCATAGTCAAATGAGCTGGCTTCCTAATCGTCCTATATTTCCTATAAGTGGTCCTATATTGTCCTATATTTCAGGCTTTTGTCCTATATTTCCTATATTTGTGGGCAAAGTGGGGTTATACTGCTTTCATTATCTGTTTTATCCAACCAAGCTTTGTTGAAGACTGTGATTTTTGGCATGTGTGATTGAACAAATACTTATCTAAAATGGATTCAGACCGAATAACAAAAAATTTTTTTGTAAAAAAATAACAATTTGGGCGAAGAAAGCATTAGGTCTAGGAGTGACTCCGACTGTCTGAGTCGTCGAAAAACAAAAAAAAAGCGGAAAAAATCAGAAGGTAGAGCACTAGGAAATATTAAATAGAAAAATGTGTATAAAACTGCTACAAAGTACATGATAATATTTTAACTAAATGCTTTAACTTTATTTTATTTTTCAGTTTTCGATGTGTTTCACACTTCATCATCAGAAAAATGAACATAGGAAGAAAAGATAACTTATTATATAGTCTGTAACTATGAGTATAAGACAAAGAAATTAAAAGGAACAATTTTGACTAGTCAACTATGAACTATGTGCTTACAGAACATACTTTCGATCGATTGTCTTTTAATTAAACATGAAGTAGTGATGGTCAACCGAATATGTTTGTTCGCTATTTTTTCTGTTCATTCTAGTCAAAATTGTTCCTTTTAATTTCTTTGTCTTATACTCATAGTTACAGAC